CTGAGCAGACAATGCTTGGCCCCCTCTTAGCTCAACCAAGTCGAGTCTTGAAGGTTTGTCACTTTCGTCTTGATCCAGAGACCGAGCCTTAGGGTCGACTCACAGGTCCCTCACTTGGGTTGGTCGAGTTAGCTCAACCATAACCTAGCATAAAGGGCGTGGGACTTTTCTAGACCAAGACCAACTCTTGAGGACTTCATCATCATTGGTTGAACAAATCTTGACCAAGGCCGAACCCCTTGCGTCAACACGGGAGAGGCTCAATTTTGATTCCGTTGTTCTCTCTCTGCCAAATTAGTGACGCTACGAGTCTGGATATCTATAGATAGGAGGGTGTACAACACATCAAGCATGTTCTAGAATATTCCACTTCTACCACACATACTCCATTATACACAGTGCACCGACGACGTTACGTCTGCGAATTGTGTGATGAACTATTACCATTATTAGCAACCATTGTTTACATGTTTAAGATACCAATCATCAGTTCCATTATTTATTTGATCTGAGTGATACATTTCTTTGTTATTTCCATGGAAGATAATATCCATTGTCCAACTTGAAAACTCAGAAACTAGTTCTATATCTAACATGATAGTGATCATTAAGTCTTATACTAAATGAAATTACATTGCGTTGGACAAGATATAAATTTTGTGCAACGCTCTTCCACCTATTATTCTAAGTTCTTCTGTGTTGTATTCTGGCCCAAATTGCGATCCATCCCATTTATATTTTTATGATTTCTTAATCAAGAAAAAGTTTCTGTAAAGCTCTTTGGTATATTTTTGAATCTATTAGAAAGGAATCGGTTCACAAGAGCAAAAAGGAAACTGGCACATTTCTCTCTCACTCCTATGGCTTTGAGTCTAGTAATTGATTGATTGATTGATTTATTTATTATTATTATTTTTTTAAGAGTAGTAATGACTGGAAGTTAACACTTGTGTCAGATTCCACGTAGAAACTACCATCATAATTTTGCTGCCATTTTGCCGGGTGATTCAGTGGCAGGAATAGTGGTTGCTAATGGAATTTCGAATTTCTTAAACATTTACAACACATTGTTGGTTGTGAGGCTCGTTTTAACTTGGTTTCCAAATGCTCCTCCAGCAGTTGTCAGCCCCCTCAGGTATAATGCGAAATAACCTCTAACATGTTGTCAATATCCGAAGAAAAGAATGCAATTAACATGGCTACTGGTACATGTTTCAGCACTTTATGTGATCCCTACTTGAACATATTCCGAGGCATCATTCCACCACTGGGAGGGACGCTCGACCTTTCACCTATATTGGCATTTCTTGTTTTAAATGTCTTTACCAGTACAGCATCTGCGCTGCCAGCTGAACTTCCATCTTCAGGACTTCATCTGGACATTTCATCTCATGCAACAGCGTCACAGGAGAAGTGGATGAGAAGGCTTGATTGGAACAAGTCAAAAAGATCTGCTGCTGAGAATTAAGTTGTTTTTCTTTGACAAAAAATACATGTATTCTCAGAATCCCGCGGTTCCATGATGGAGTGGTTGATATGTCTACCATCGAGTGTAAATTCATTTGGCAACAATAAAAGTACATGTATGTATTATTTATTGATACGTCTACGTCCAAATACAACCTAGAAAGCTTCATTTTTATATCATACGTAGAACATGAACAATGACAAAAAGGTAGATAGAAAATGATACCCAGATGCATCCTTCTGAGATCTAGGAAAACTTGCTCAGGTTCATTCACGCTTAAAGATTCAATCAAACAGGAATTAATCCTCACAAATGGATTGGAAGTTCATCCATTCAGAAATTAATCTGATATCCGCACAACCAGAAATCAACCTTCGATGGCAAATAAACCTGTACAAGGGGGGATTTAGCATATTGCTATCAAATAAAAATCCTAGTATTTATGATTCTCTTCTTTGTGCTTGGCTTATACATACCAAAGATCTTGACCATCTTCGGTGAAGAGCAACTAGCAACCCAGTGCCGACACCATGATATATCCAAACTTTGTTGAATATTTGGCTAGTGAAATTGAGCCAACTTGTTAAAAATTAGGAAAATAGAGTATGTAGAGGCAGCAATTAGCATACCACTCAAGTCATCTATCTAAATCGAAACTAAAACCCAAAATATCGTACCTTAACATCATAGAAAATTAAAGTTTGTCATCAATTTTTATTTCCAACTTTAACATCAATTTTAATTTTTCATGACGTGTCTATTTGTAATTGGGTGGATAGCAGATCTCAACTCTACCTTTCTAACATTATTTTCGTGAAAGGCCCTCCAAAGGTTTCCTGCCATAGCTTCATCCATAACGTGCAAAAGGCAACCCTGAAGGTAACAATAGCTAAATTTGGCAAGCTATTGAAACATCGAGGTAACGTATCAGTAAGTGCAATGTCAACCATAAATCTAGTTGAAGTACCC